GTGGCAATTTCTTTTCCAGGAGGTATTTTTTCACACTGGGGCCAAACACATCATTAAACCACTCTTTGAAAATTTACCTTGTGGCCCATGCCTTATGATTAGCTTTCCACATCACACAATCTATTCTTCATGACACTGTTTTTCTTGAACACTCTGGGATTTTCTGAGTGATACATGAGTAAAGGCTTCACTTTGAAATCCCCACTAGCATTACCACACAACAAAAGAGTAAGCCTGTCTTTCATAGGCTTGTGTCCTGGCAGTGCCTTTTCCTCCTGGGTAATGTAGGTCCTGTTTGGCATTTTCTTCCAAAACAGGCCTGTTTCATCACAAGTGAAAACTTGTTGGGGTTTGAATCCTTCAGCCTCAGCCACTGGAATTCCTGCATGAATTTTTCAGCCACACATTATCAGAACTTGCAGCCTCACCATGTCTTACAACACTGTGTATGCCACTACCCTTCTTAAATCTATCAAACCATCCTTTGCTGGCCCTAAATTCACAAACTGCAGCACTTGTTCCAGGCATTTTCTTTGTAAATCCTCATGCAGCTGCCTTGCCTTGTCACAAATAATCGACTCCACAACACTCTCTCACTAATTCGTTTTCCTTAATCCACAATAATAATAACTTTTCCATCTCTTCTATTATTGGTGGCCTTTGTTTAGTTAGAAAAGTTACTCCCTTTGCAACATTAGCATCCCTGATTTGTTCTTACTTTGCCAGGATGGATGCAATTGTTGATTTATTCTTGCTGTACATCCTGGCAAGTTCCAGCACCCTCATACCACTCTCAAACTTTTCTATCACTTCACGCTTAAAGTCCATGGTGTTTCTCACTTTCTTTACCACAGGAACTTTGGAGCCATGGTTACTTACTTTACAGTTGCACTGCAAAAATAACACAAACTACAATGGGAAATAAGCAAAATGTTTGGATGTATGAGCAGAAGCTTCCTCAGCCACCGAGAGACACAGCCAAACTGACGTGCAAGCGGCCACCAGCTGGCGGATGGGAGCGTCCCAAACAGCCAATTACTGAATTAATGGCCGATAATCGGGCACTGAAAAACCTGACCGATCACCGAGTTGGCCGATAACTGGGGTCCACTGTACATGTGTGTGAATTGAATACAGTGGACCCTTGACCAACGATGGCATCGATTAACGATAAATCCGACTAGCGATACATTTTAATGCAAAAATTTTGCCTCGACTACCACTAAAAAACCCGACCAATACTATTCATTCCGTTCGAGATGCGTCCACTTTGGCCTGAGCGCGCCTCACTTGTCCCATGGGTGCCAGTGTTTACAAGCAAGCCAGCCACCGCGGTCGCTTCCGAACATACAATTGGAACATTTCATATCATCACAGCCTTTGTAGTGATTGTACCTACAAAATAAGTCACCATGGGCCCCAAGAAAGCTTCTAGTGCCAACCCTACAGCAAAAAGGGTGAGAATTACTATGGAGATGAAGAAAGAGATCATTGCTAAGTATGAAAGTGGAGTGCGTGTCTCCGAGCTGGTCAGGTTGTATAGTAAATCCCAATCAACCATCGCTACTATTGTGGGAAAGAAAACGGCAATCAAGGAAGCTGTTCTTGCCAGAGGTGCAACTATGTTTTCGAAACTGAGATCGCAAGTGATAGAAGATGTTGAGAGACTCTTATTGGTTTTTGGATAAACGAAAAACAGATAGCAGGAGATAGCATCTCTAAAGCGATCATATGTGAAAAGGCTAGGAAGTTGCATGATGATTTAATTAAAAAAATGCCAGCAACTAGTGGTGATGTGAGTGAATTTAAGGCCAGAAAAGGTTGGTTTGAGAGATTTAAGAAGCGTAGTGGAATTCATAGTGTGATAAGGCATGGTGAGGCTGCCAGTTCGAACCACAAAGCGGCTGAAAAAATATGTGCAGGAATTCAAGGAGTACAAGAAAGTGAAGGACTGAAACCTGAACAAGTGTTTAAATTGTGACGAAACAGGCCTGTTTTGGAAGAAAATGCCAAGCAGGACGTACATTACTCAGGGGAAAAGGCACTCCCAGGACATAAGCTATGAAAGACAGGCTTACTCTGTTGATGTTTCCAATGCTAGTGGTGATTGAAAGTGAAGCCTTTATTGGTGTATCACTCTGAAACTCCCAGAGTGTTCAGGAAAAAACAATGTCCCAAAGCTAATTTGTGTGTGCTGTGGAGGGCAAACAGTAAGGCATGGGTTACTAGGGACTTTTTTTATGATTGGGTTACACCATGCATTTGCCCCCCCACTGTGAAAAATTTCCTCCCGGAAAATAAATTGGACCTTAAGTGCCTCCTGGTATTAGACAAAAGCTCCTGGTCATCCTTCAGACTTGGCAGAGCGACTTTTTAGGGACATGAGCTTCATTTAAGGTCAAGTTTTTTTGCCTCCTAAAACCACTCCTCTCCTGCAGCCATGGACCAGCAGGTCATTTCCAACTTTGAGAAACTGTACAAAAGCTATGTTTGAAAGGTGCTTTGTAGTGACCTCAGAAACCAACCGACTCTAAGAGTTTTTGGAGAGATCACTTTACCATCCTCAATTGTGTAAACATTATAGGTAAGGCTTGGGAGGGAAATGACTAAGAGGACCTTGAACTCTGCTTGGAAAAAACTGTGGCCAGAATGTGTAGACAAAAGGGATTTTGAGGGTTTGAGGCTAACCTGGGAATCCTATTTCCAGTTGAGGAATCCATTGTGGCATTGGGGAAGTCCTTGGGGTTGGAGGTTAGTGGGAGGATTGGAAGAGTTGGTGGAGGAGGACAATGAAGAACTAACCACTGATGAGATGCTAGATCATCTTCAACAGCAAGAGGCCACACCTGAGGAAACTGCTTCGGAGGAGGGGATAGAGAAATTGAAGAAGTTGCCTACTTCAAAGATTAAGGAAATGTGTGGAATGTGGCTTAAAGTGCAAACCTTTATGGATGAAAATCACCCTGACACAGCTACTGCAAGCCGTGTTGGCAACCTGTACACTGACAATGTTGTGAAACACTTTAGAAATGTCATAAAGGAATGGGAGGTACAGGCCTCTATGGACAGATATGTTGTGCAACAGAAGTCCAGTGACTCTGAAGCTGGTCCTAGTGGCATTAAAAGAAGAAGGGAAGTAACCCCGGAAAAAGACTTGCTACCTCAAGTCCTAATGGAAGGGAATTCCCCTTCTTAACACTAAGATGATCAACACTCTCCCCTCCTCCCATTCCATCAATCATCATCAGATCTTCAATAAAGGTAAGTGTCATGTAACTGTGCATGTCTTCTTCAGTTTGTGTGTATTAAAATTAATATTTCATGTGGTAAATTTTTTTTTTTTTCAATACTTTGGGGTGTCAGGAACGGATTAATTTGATTTCCATTATTTCTTATGGGGAAAATTAACTCGACTAACGATAATTTCGATTAACGATGAGCCCTCAGGAACGGATTAATATCGTTGGTCGAGGGTCCACTGTACTATTAATTAATACATAATGGTGAAAAACACAAACTAAGGCCTTTTATTTAGCAGAATTTTGCTCCACTGGAAAACTCCATTAACCCTTAAACTGTTCAAATGTAGATCTACGTCCACGTGTGGGGGGCTACCAACATAGATCAATTTTTTTTTTACACGCTTTCAAATGGGGAAAATCAAGGTCGGAGCGCTACGCACGTGAACGTAGATCTACATTTGGACAGTTTAAGGGTTAAATAAACACCTTTAAGTACACTGGACCCTTGGTTATCGGCTGTAATCTGTTCCAGAAGGTCAGCCTAAATCCAAAAAGGCCGAAAACCAAAATAATATTTCCCATAAGAATTAATGTAAATACAATTAATCCATTCCAGGCACCAAAAATATTAACAAAAAATATATTTTTTAAAGATTAACTATAGTTTTACATACACAAAACAATGAGAACTAAATAAAATGACTAATGAAAAGGATAAATGAACATTTAACATCACTTTTACCTTTATTGAAGACTCTTATTGGCACTATTATCAACTCTACGGCTTATTTATCTATCACAATTCATCAAATATGACATAATAAACAATACTGATAACATAGAAACATGATATATACTCTGGAATGAATAAAATATGTCATTACATATGTGACTAGTGGTGGTGCTATTGTTGTTGGGTTTATCAGGGCCACTGACAGCGTAAGCCGTATAGTGGTGGTGGTGGCAGCGGCATCGGCCACCACCACTGGTCACACTACTAGTCACACTGAAACAATGTATGTAATTTATAAATAAGAAATATAGTATAAAACCATAATAGAAAATGTAAAGAAATGAAGTGGTTATTGCGGAGAATGTAAAGAAATAAAGTGGTTATCGAGATGCTGGCAGAGGTTTAGGGCAGTGAAAGATACGCAGGGAGGCATATGCTGTCAGTGGTCCTATATACCTCTAACAACATTGGAGGAGTTAGTTTCGTGTCGTCCTTTTTCTATTGTTTAATTGCTTAACTTACTTGCTACACTGTTAATGCTACACTTTATCGCTAGCTGGCACTATAGCCTTTATCAGCTCCTGCTGCCTTAGTATCATGCATGTAGAATCACTGAATCATTGAAGAAGGCACATTCTCCCCTCTCTCTCAGCCCTTTACAAAAGGGCTGGCACTAGGAACTTTCTTTGGGCTCATGGTGGCTTATTTCGCAGTCGCACTCAATAAACAACCACAAAAAACAATGGATTATAATGAAATGTTTGGATGAATGCACAAAGTGTTGCTCACTCACTGAGAAACACAGCCAGACTGACTCACGCACGCGGCGCGCAGACGTGTCAAATACAGCCAATTTCCGAGTTGCCAGCCGAAACCCAGGATAGAATTTCAGCCAAAAAAGCGGCCGAAATCCAATTTGACTGATATCCGGAACAGCTGACATCCGAGAGTCCACTGTAATAGGTTTACTCTGTTTATGTGTCTTTTGATTCACCTGTCCTCTTCTGGACATGAAATGAACTTACCCTTCCCATGTTTCATCACATGTACCCTCTGCTGCTTCAATAATTTCTTCATCTTTAGGCGAAACTGTGGGACTGATGTTACCTTGGATGTCAACAAATGCTTCTGCAAACTGTAAAAAGCAAACTTGTATAAAAATTAAGCACATACTGAATAACAACTCTTAAGAATAAACAAATACACGTATAGGCAAAGTGTATCATTATTCAAAGTTTTAACCCTTTCACCCTCTCTGATGTAGAGCTATGTCAGCAGGATTAGCATTGCTGAAGTTTGTCTATGTTTTAATCATTTTTTTTTATTAACACACTGGCCGATTCCCACCAAGGCAGGGAGTTGTAAATGTTGGCCTAGACATAAGAGAAGGGTCACTGCAGTAGGTGTGCACAGTTTAAAAAGAAAAATCCTTCCCCACCCAAAGCATGATGGGAACAGTTAACCTCTGACCTTGTGTTCAGGTTAAGATAGTGATTTTGATACATTTTCTAAGGTGGCTTTCAAGGTTTAATTGGATGTTTCTTAGGACTAACTGATGGACCAGAAGACACTCTGGTGAAGTAGAGATGATTTTGGCCAGTTTCAGACTAGAGGTGGCTTGAAACAGGAGGAAATATTTTATTTTTAGAGATTTTTCTGAGGAAGTGTTTGGGCTCCTGGGGACCACTAACCCCCCCCCCATTCCCTACTCCCAAGTCTATTTTATAGATTTTTATCAGATCTGCTTCAAGTATTGGGATGGCCTCAATAGTAAGAAAACATTCTTGGTTATATTTTATTAGCCGAGGAATAGGGAAAACTTTTTTATAATGCAATGATGGATTCAAAATGGAGGGCAATTGTTATATGGGAGTCCTGGGAATGTGACAGATGAACAGGAGAAATGATGCTTTAGTGGCTGGAATACCTATAATGTTTGTTTTGGCCTGCTTTTAAATTGGAATTTGTGGCCAAATTACCAACTCCTATGCACTTTGTTTAGTTCTGATACTTCACTGGTCAGCTTTTTGTCCACACTTGATAGTACGGAAAGCATACTAACAAAATAACCAAGAATTGAATCAGTTTGAGCACTAGAATTGGCCTACAATAGGTCTCAAACTAAGTGTAAAATACTCCCTAATCTCCAAACTTATGCCTGCATAATTCTATAAATTTTATATCACATTTGCATTTTTGGTGTCACTGCCTTTAGAAAAAGTTTCTCTACTATTTTAGAAGTTAATTTTTTAATTACAACACTGACAGGACTCTCATTTTTGAGGGAACGAGACACTTAACCCTTTGACTGTCGAGGTCGTATATATACAACTTACGAGGTACCGTGTTTGACGTATATATACACTCATAAATTCTAGCGGCTTCAAATCGAGCAGGAGAAAGTTGGAAGGCCCACATGTGAGAGAATGGGTCTGTGTGGTCAGTGTGCACCATATAAAAAAAAATCCTGAAGCATGCAGTGCATAACGAGAAAAAAAAAACTCCGACCGTTTTTTTAATTTAAAATGCCAACTTTGTGGTCTATTTTCGTATAGTATTTATGGTTGTATTCTCGTTTTCTTGGTCTCTTTTGATAGAATGGAAAACATATTATAGAAATAGAGGTGATTTTGACTGATTTTACTATAAAAAAACCTGGAAATGGAGCTCAAAGTAGGGGAAATGTTTGATTTTTGCTGATGTTCAAAAGTAAACAAATGATGTCATTGTCCAATAAATGTCCAACTAGCCATTCTAATATGCAGTCATGAATGGGTTGATGTTATTTAAACAATTATTACAGTATTGCAGTAGTCTGCATAACAGTAAATCTTCTATTTTTTGTTTGAATAAAAATTCAAAATAGAAAGCAAGAGTAATATCAGAGGGGCCTGGAGACGTGACTGATGAACAAAGAAAAGTTATTTTAGAGCCAGAAATGTCTGCATTGTTCATTCTAGACCTTATTTTGAAATTGTCATTTTTTTCAATTTTCGTGAAATTGGCCAAATTGCAAATTTCTGACCATGTTATTGGATAGTTGAAATCAGTAAATGGGCAGTTTCTTGTACTCAATGGATAGAAAAAAATGGAGTTCTAAAGAAATAGCTATGAGTTTGGTCGACTGGAACAAAGAAATTAGCCGAAAATAGGGCTCAAAGTGGGCGAAATTGCCGATTTGTAAATATCACCGAGGTCGCTAACTTCGCGAGAGCGTAATTCCGTCAGTTTTCCATCAAATTTCGTGTTTTTGGTGTCATTACAATCGGGAAAAGATTCTCTATCATTTCATAAGAACTTTTTTTTTTTTTTTTTTTTTTTTTTTTAAATTTTGCGACACCAGGAGACACTTCAGGATTGGGGGTTGCGACAGTCAAGGGGTTAAGGGGGTTAAATTAAGGTATAAAATTCTAAATCATCTTTCACACAGACTTCCTTTTTCTCTGTGTGTTTACTCTGTTTATAAACTATGAAACTTCAATTTTCCTTCACAAAGGAAATGACCTAACAACAAGCTTTTGGAACTAAACAAACTTGTTTGTTTATGCAAGTCTATATGGGAAATAACCAATGCAGGTTGCTGATTCAAAAATGGTACAACCTATTTTAATATGTGCAGTATACATAATTCATTCCTCTTAATCCTTTGAGGGTTTCGGCCGTACTAGTATGGCTTACAGCCCAGGGTTTTTGACGTATTAGTACGCCTAAATTCTAGTGCCCTCAAATCTAGTGGGAGAAAGCTGGTAGGCCTACATATGAAAGAATGGATCAATGTGGTCAGTGTGCACAGTATAAAAAAAAATCTTGCAGCACACAGTGCATAATGAGAAAAAAAAAAACTTTGACCATTTTTTTGGAATAAAACAGCAACTTTGCACTGTATTTTCGTATGGTATTTATTGTTGTATTCTAGTTTTCTTGGTCTCATTTTATAGAATGGGAGACATATTACAGAAATTGAGATGATTTTGACTGGTTTTACAATGAAAAGTTTCTGAATTTCGTCATGGCAACTTGGATGATTCGGGTCATGGTCTCATAGTCGGTAATGTACTCATGGATATCCTCAAGCATATTCTGAGCGGCGTGGTGTTTATCTAGATCACTGGTAAACTTCACTGTTCCATCTTTGACTCACTGGTAGAGTTAGTCTCAGAACATACAGTAGACCCACGGTTTTTGTAATTAATCCATTCCAGAAGGTTGGCCGAAATCCGAAATGGCCGAAAACCTAAGTAATATTTCCCATAAGAAACAATGTAAATACAGTAGGGCCCCACTTATATGGCAGGTTAGGTTCCAGGCTACCGCCGTAAAGTGGAAATCGCTGTAAAGTGGAACACCCTTTTTTTCCATTTATAAATGCATACAAATACTTGATAACAAGTTTACACTAATATATATTAAGATAGCAATAGAACTAGGCATCAAAAACAATAAAAAAGTACAATACACACATAGTGCACTCATTACTTACCTTAAAATATTTATAGTCTTAATCTAGGGTGAGACAAGTAGTATTTATTGTAAAAAATCAAGTGTGATATGTATGGTAGTCAGCCGGGCTACCATACCAGGCCAACCCCACCCACACATATATTCTATGATATTTAAGCATCCCAGAGTGATAAAATGTATATACAGTTCACTCATTACTTACCTTAAAATATTTGTAGTCTTAATGTAGGGTCAGGAGTAAGTAAATGAGATAAAATGAATAAACGAGAGAGAGAAAGAAGGAGTGCATGAGAGAGGACAGGCGCAGAGTTATGTAAACAAACCAGGTGAAGGTAAGTTTTGTAAACAAAGTGTACACGTCTGGTTTGTGTACAAGTTGTTTCTACATTGATACGGTAGAATAAATAAAGAAGAACACTCCCATTCTCATGTAACATCATTTTGAGAAGAAATGACGCTCTGAGTGAAGGCAATGGAAATAAGTCACTCTGTCTGACTTTTTTGGGTTATCCTAGGTTCTCTACACATATGCTGTTATGTATGATAATCTATGTAACTGTATTTGTGAATACCTGAATAAACTTACTTACATACATATAAAAGGAATAATTCTCTAGTTACCCCCAGTAACACATTTTCTCTTATGTTAGATTAGAGAAAATGTGATTTTTGGCATCATTTGTACAAGTTATCTGGCTACCACATCTCATATTTATGTTTATTTATTCTATTGTGGGGTGTATTTATCATCTTTATATGTTATGTATCATGTTTATTATATAATTTTGAAAAAAATATCATGGATGAATTAATGAAAATGTGTATATTAACGTAATATACGACATTTAATGAGACTCGGTGATTATTATAATTATTATTTCTAATATGGCGTCACTTGTGCAAGTCGTCTGCTACCACATCTCATATTTATGTTTATTTATTCTACTGTGGGGTGTATTTATCATATTTATATGTTTTGCATTGTGTTTATTATATAATTTTGAAAAAATATAACAGATGGATTAATGAAAATGTGTATATTAACGTAATATACAACATTTAAATGAGACTCTGTGATTATTATTATCATTACTAATATGACGTCTGGAGACATAAGACACTCTTACTGATTTTAATGTGTACCTGCATGCCAGCACAGTGTGTAAGTTTATTTAAGTACAGGTATACATAAGTATAATTATCAGAGTATGTATGAAATATGAAATAGCTTTTAAAAACACTTAAAATTTTGGAGTTTCCAGACATAATGGAGAGACTTAGTGCTTACGGATCTCACAGAGAATGTAAACAAACCAGGTGGGGCGCAGTGACCGTATTAGAAAGTCAGGTGGGGGGAGCCGTATAGCGAGTTTTGGTCATAATTTGAAATGACCGTATTAGCGGAACGCCGTAAAGCGGGGCCCTACTGTACAATTAATGCGTTCCAGACACCCAAAAATATTAACAAAAAATACATTTTTAAAAAATAACTATAGTTTTACATACAGAAAACAATGAGAAATAAATATAAATAACTAATTTTAATGATAAATGAACATTACATACCTTTATTGAAGACTCTTGTTGGTAAGTAGTATTTATTTGTAGTCCCAGAGGGACTACATCCCAGTGTATACCTACCAGTTACATACACTGTGGCCTACAGCCATATTA